GAGCGTGGGAAAACCGCTGTGGCACGTCCCTCCTCCCCCCAGGGTCCCAACTCCTTGGGAGGCGAAAGGTCACTCACGATTCCTGGCAGAGGAGGAGGGAGCAACGAGGGCCCTGGGGTTCCTTCCAGTCCAGAACCCGCTCAGGTGCGGTGCCTCCTGGGCTGTTTGCATAAGCAGCAGCAGAGGCCAGGGCTGTAACGCCTTCCTCCCTGGGGCCAATGCCCCGGCAGCAGGGGCGGGCTCCAGTCCAGGTGGCCGGCCTGGGCCTTCCCACCTCTGAGTTATCTTGGGGCAGCGATGGTGACCACATCCTGAAATCCCAGAGTCAGGACGGCCCGTCGCCCAGGGGTGACCCCGCAGCAGCCACCGTGGAGGAGTCTCCGAGGCCCCTTCCTCACCGGGCTTCCCTGGGCCCTCAGGGCGCCTCCCAGCGGGTGTGCATGGCTGGCGGGGATACAGTCCTCCGGCTCACCTCCCGCCCGCCTCAGAAGGGTGTGCTTCTGCCCCCTTCTGGGGCATCTCATTCTCAAGGGGAGCGTTTGGAATCCCTGCCTCCTCCGTGCCCCCATGCCCACGGCTGGGCACATACGGAGCACACAGAAAAGTGAACACTTGGGAATCCCCTGGCGGTCCAGGGGTTAGGACTCGGCACTTCCACTGCCGGGGCCCGGGTTCAATCCCTGGTCAGGGAACTAAGATCCCGCGAGCCGCGCGGTGCCACCAAAAAATACCCAAAAGTGAACCCTTGTTTGCCTTGGGCTTGTACTGTCCTTGCTGAGAACAGAGTGGCCAAGCCTGAAAGCCACCTGGCTGAGACTGAGCCTGGTAAGGGTGGGGTTTGGGGTCTGGAGGCCTGCAACTGATCTGGAAGCAGCCACCTCCTGGCCATGTGACCTTTGGCCAGTCACTAAAGCTCTTTGAACCTCTGTTTGCACTCGGGACAAACGTGGGGGAGTACCCATGCCTGCCTCCTGGGCTGCTGGGAGGATGAGTGTTTGAGAGCCCACAGGACCGTTAGCCCCTTTGGGACAGGGACCGTCATGTCTTACCATGCTTTGTGTCCCGGTGGCCAGCACACGCTAGATGCTCACTGTGTGCTTCCCCAACCAAGTGAGTGGTTAATGACGAGGCTATGAAATGCCCCACGTGGTACAGGCTCCTCTCTTGTGGCGGGGACAGTCCCTGCCTCTGCCAATTGTCCTGCCCTCCTCGCCACCATCTCCCCCTGTCCAATGGCCCATCAAGTGGACACTGTTCCTACCCTGCCAATGACCCCATGTCACCTCCGTGCACACATCCTTGCTCCTCCTCAGAGGAAGTAGGTCCCTTCCCCTCTGCTCTGGGTCCCTCCCTCACTCCTTTCTCCCGGGATCTCATCCCTTCAACGACCTCCTCACCATCCTCAGCCTCCCCCTCTTCCTGCCCCTTCACTGAGATTCAGGGGAGTCTCCACCCTAGATCTGCACCTGCATCTGACCGCACGGGTCGCCCTCCCCGCTAAGCTTTTGAGAGTTTTCCACATGCTATCTGAGTCCTCACCTTCATTTCTCTGGCCCTTTGCTCTCTGCCTTCAGCAACCCCTTGACCCCTTGACCAGCTTCTGATAAGGTGACCGCTGACCTTCTGGTGGCCACTACCGATAAATGTTCGACGGCCTTCATCTAACTTCCCTTTTCTCTGGACACTTCCCCTCAGCTTCTGGGTCAGCACTCTCCTGCTTTTCCTCTTTGTTCCCTGACTGTTCTTTCCCCTTATGATCCTCCCTCCTCCCTCTGTCAGTCACCCAAATGCAATAGCCCCAAGGCTGTTCAGGTGCTCCTATCCCCAACATTCCCCACATTCTCTCCACACCCATGGCTCCTCCATCACAGGCTGAAGGTCTCCTCCTGGACGGCAGCCCCAGCTATCCGACTGCCTACTGGACCAGGCAGGGCCAAAGTGGGCACCGCGTCTTTCCTCCACCCCTTCCTCCCCAGTTATCCCAGCTGTGAACAGCACCACTGTCTGCCCCAGAGTGCAGACTGGGAGACTGGAGCTCCTCCTGATTTCCCCCCCCCCCCCCCCCCCCCCCCCCCCCCCCCGACCCATCAGCCACCAGGTCCCGCCAAGCCTACCTCCCAAATCTCCCATTATCACTGCGTGCCTGGGAGACCATGAAGGTCCTCGTCATTCTCCAAGGCCCAGCCACAGGGTTTTTTCCTCAGTCCCCTTCCCTTCTCTGCTGAAAGCCTTCCAACAGCTGCAGGATAAAGTCCAAATTCCTGGCGAGAGCCCATGAGCCCCGGCTCGGCAAGACACCATCCACTCCCGACCCCAAGCCCCCATTCCTGACCCCGAGCTGTAAGGCCCCAAAGGTGCCGCATCTTCCCGCACCTCCACCTCTGCCCATGCACCCCGAGTGTAGCTCCATTACAGGTGGCCTGTGTCAAGCACTGAAGTCCCCTCCTCCCAATCTCCCATCCCAGACAGTGAACCCCTCAGAGCTGGAGCTGTGCCTCAGTCACCTTTAGATCCAAAGGCTCACCTGGTGCTTGGCAGGTGTTCAGTCAATTCACATGAAGTGAATGGAGGGGAAAGGTAGGACCTGCTTCTCCTGCATCCTCCAAGGAGAAAACAGGCAGGCTCACCTGTCAGGAAACTGCTTCTCTAAATGCTATCTTGAACAACTGAGAGCAGGGTGGGATTTCCTTCCCAGGAGGGAACCACCTGCCCACCCCTGGAGTTTGTCAGGGATGGGGTGTCAAGGGAAGCCCACAGCTGACACTCGAATAAAGCACAGTCACAGGGAGTGTGGTATTATACCCATTACACAGGGGAGGAAACAGGACCAGAGATGCTAAGTGACTTGTTGAGGTCACACAGTGAATTAGGGCCAGAAGTGGGACTGGGCAGAGCCTCTCTGCCAAAACCCAGGTGTCTGGGAGACACCCCAGTTCCTCCCTGTACAAGCGCTGCCCCCATTATCACCTGTGTCCACATACTCCTAACACACCACAGCAGCTGCCACAGCTAGAGAAAGAAGGGGCAGTGACCCTGGCTCCTGGGGTGATTTCTCTTCTCAGGAGGTACCAGGATGCGGGGAGTGGGGTGGGGTGGTGGTGTCTCCTCTCCCTCTTTCTCCCATCTTGGTCCTGGGCTCATGGGTGGAGCCCCTTGGGCAGACCTGCAGAGCCCCGGCTCATGGTAAGGGGGCTGGCTCTCCTCGTCCCTCTTCAACACATTCGGCAAGGCTCTGGGCCAGGCCCTATGCCAGGTGCTGGGGTTCAGAGAGAAAGGCCAGTCCCCCACCTCAAGGATCGAGGAATGCACCTCCAAGGGCCAGACAGACATTCCCACCATCACAAGGACAGAGAATGTGGAAAGGCCCCGGAGTGTGCCGCCAAGAGCCTGCTCAGTAAACGGAGGGGCGCCGGGGAAGGGGTGCCGGGGAAGGGGTGCTGGCATCCAGCCATGTATTCCAGAGGAGCTGTCTGGTGGGTTAGCAGAAGCGCTTGGCTGAAGGACTCGCCCCATCCCTGCTCCGCCCCCGCAACTCTCCCAGCTCCGGGTCTGGGTCCCGATCTCCTTCCCCACCCACCGCATGCTGTTCTCCGCTCTGGCCACCAGGGGGCGGGTTGGTCCTTGCAGAAACCTTAGCAAAGGTGGCGTGCACCCGGAGGAAAAGACACCCAGTGGGACCTCAGCCAGTCTTGGCTGACCGCCTACTACGTGCCAAGCACTTCCACGCTTCACCTCGTTTAAGGCTCTCAACGCCTCGAATCCTTTGGTATTGTTCTGCATGTACACAAGAGGGCATCGTGGCCGGGGGAATGAAGCGGCTTGTCAGGAGCTGGCAGGTGACCCAGCAGAGTCAAATTCGAGTCTCTGCCTCAAATCCTGAACACTGCACCATAACGAGACCGGGCGGAGGGAAGACCCAGGAACTCACAGATGGGGACGGTGCCTCTTTCTTCCCAGACTCAGTCCCTGAACGTGGCAGGCATCAATATTTATTGTAATCATATTGGGTCCAAAGAAGGAAATCAGAGACTCACAAGCTTCAGGGGTCATCCATCCCCTACCCCCTTGATCTAAACACGAACTGAGACCCTGAGAGAGGAAGTGGATTGCCCATAATTACACAGCTGTCAGATGTGGCACATGTCAGAGGGGGCCTGTGCCCTCCACGCCCCCACCTCTCCCTGAAAAGTCCCTAAACTTGAAGAAGTCCAGGCCGCCGAAGTATTCTGAGGATGTAAGAGTTTTTAAAAGGTGCTCTTATTTTAAATGATATTTAAATAAAAATTTTAAATTTCCCAAATTTACATAACCGAATTCTGAGGCAAAAAGAACATCCTCGCGATAACTGGACTTCTTTCTGAAACAAAACCATCGAAATTACAAAAAAAAAGAAAAGGAACTAAAATGTTGGAACCAGTCAAAAAAGGAAGCAGACCCCTGACTTTCACATCCATTATCTCCTCCGACGCCCAAGCTCATGTGAGAAAGGCGAGGCAGATAGAGCCGGCGGCGGCAGGTCCACAATCCCCTATTTCATTCTGGATACGTTTCGGAATGGTTCGGATTTTAGAAGGATAACCGGCGCACACACCTGCCACAGGTGACATAACTCTCCCTGCAAGGCTTGGGCAGCAGCCTGTAATCGGGTTTATTTGCACTTCTGCAGCAAAACTTGAATATTCACAGTAAATGGGATAAATTAAGGCCGTCCACGGCCGCACATGGTTCAAGTCAAAGTTTGCCACCAGCTGAGTTACAAAAACCCTTTGGGCTCCAGGGAGCTTTGACGTTTGGGAATTGCAGCTAAGAGATCGTTAGTAAGCCTGTACCCCTCTCGTTTCGTAGTTGAGTAAAGTTAGGCTCGGCGTGAGCGGTCCAAAGCCGGCGGACACTGCTGCTCCGTGGAGCCCGATGCAAGACTGAGCGGGTCTCCTAGCGCCGCCACTCGCGGCGCGCGTAACTCCCGCCCGTCTGCCCGCTCCCGGCTCCCCATGGCGTACCTGCTCCGGGTGCTGCTCCAGCGGCTGGCCGCGCACGTCCTGGATGGCCTCATAGACGTTTTCGGAGTTGCTGCCCGCCGGAGGCCGCGGGCACAACCAAGAGCCGGCCACGCTGCAGGCCTTGAGGCTGCCCCCGCTCCCGAGGAGACCGGCAGGGGGCGCGGCGGTGCGGGCCAGGTCGTCCAAAGACTGCGCGGGCCGCACAGGTGCCATGGGCCTCGTGTACAGGCAGGCGGGCAGGCAGGGCGCCAGGCTTCGGCGCTGGGTTGCTGCGCCGCGCCGAGCTAGGCCGCACATGGAGCCCGCGCGGCCCCGGGGCTCGGCGGGCGCGCCGTCGGGACCGGCGGGCGCCGACGCTCTCACGAAGCGGTAGTCATAGGAGAGCGGTTCGGGGTCTGCGGGACCCGGAAGGCGCGCGGGCGGCTGCGGGGCGGGGGCAGGGTGGCCGAGGGCAGGCAGCTCGCGCACGTACTGAGCCGGCAGGTAGAAGGGGCGGCCGCCGGGCTCGCTGCGCACGTGCCACCAGTGCTCCGTGCTGCGGCGCAGCAGGCGGTAGCGCTCGTTGGGCTGGATGGCAACGCGGCGCCCGTCCTTGCCCGTGTACTCGAAGGGATGTTCCACCAGCACGTACACGTCCCCCTCGACGTCCGCCGCCATCGTGGCCGCGGCGTGTCCCTGTGGGCAACGAGGAGGAGGGGCGCGGAGGTCAGGGCCGCCGAGCCGGGAAGCGCACCGCACTAGGGAGACGGAAAACTTGGGTTCGAGTACCGAAGCTACAATCGTTTGTGTACGTTCAGGCCTCAGTTTTCCTATCTCTAAAACGGGGGACTTGGATAAAATAATCTCTAAGGTTCTCATTCTTACACTCAGTGATGGAATTAAGACAGCCCTTTCATTCTCTTGGTTGATTGTAAAATTCTATCCCTTGGTGGGGAGATTGTGGGTAATACTGGTCCAGCTTTACAGCCAGGGAAGCTTTGGCTCAAAGAGATGGGGGTGATTGCCCGCGATAAAGTCGACACCACGTTTGCCTAAAAGTTGACTGGGCCTCAGTTTCCGCGTCTGTGAAGTGGGAAGAATAGCCCATTCCATTACCCCCGTCCCACCCCTCCCCGACGCTTCCAGCCCTCAGGGAATCGCGTCCTTGGCACCCCGCTCCCCAGGCGTGTGCGCCCAAGGCCCGCGGGAACAGGGTTGGGGCGCGGGCTCCAGGAGCGGCCCCCGCTTTGCTCTAGTCTGGGAGTGTCCCTGCCCCGCTTAGTCCAAGGGCCTTGGCGTAAGGGGCCGCGACTGCCAAGGCCGGGGGAACCGGTTCTCTCGGTTGCTTTTTCCTTCCCCGGCGGCTTTGCCACAGACGTGAGCCCGGAGCCCGGCCAGCCCAGACCGACCGGCACCGCCCCCTGCTCTCTGGCTCCCATCTCGACCTCCCGAGAGAGGCTCGGCCTTGCGGCCTGCCCCCCTGCCCTGTGATCTCTACTTTGCCCCATGAGAATGGCCCCTAGGGAATGCACTTTGGGACATTGACTACCCGTGCGGTGTAACCAGGGACCTCCAAAGCTCTCCTGGAGTGATCACCACAACACGACCCCCTCCACGCCAGCTCAGTCTGGCCCTTGGTATGTTGGGGGAGGGAGTCAGAGCCCAGTTGCAAGCCTGCCTGTGTGGCTGGTCCCTCCAAGCCTTTACATCGACCACACCTACTGACCCACAAAGGTGACCTGGGACCAGCAGCTGGAGCTCGGCCTCTTGCTGAAGCTGAGCGATCCAAGGCACAAGGTCTGGTCTGGTCTAGCGCTCCTTCTCCTTCTCAAGCTTTCCCCGATGGGGAAGGGGTGTAAACTGAGTCACTAAGCACACTGGGCCCTGGAGGCGGGGTCCTTGAGCTGACGGGAGCTAAGCCACCAAACCCTAGGGGGGGGACACCCCTTCTCACCACCTTCCCCTGGACCCCCGCGCTCACTCACGTCGGCAGGGCTGACCTCAAGGAGCCCATGGGCTGGCTGGGCGGAGCCGGCGGTTGTATGCAGGTTAGGCCCCTGCCATCTCCTTGGGCGGGGCTTCAAAGAGCTAGGCTGGAGAGACCTCGGGAAGGAGGAGCTGGCAAGGAGAGCAAAGAAGGAGAGGGCTGCCTTCAGTTCCCAAAGCGGCTGTGTCTGGGAGGGGCGAGGAGGAGCCTAAAGAAGTCTGCCTGGGCCGGTGGGGACTTTGGGGGCGGGGCCCGGGGCAGGAGAAGGCCAGAGGGAGGGGCAGGGGCAGGGAGGGCTGCGACCGAAGGGGCGCTGGAGGGTCGCGAGCGGATCCAAGGGAGGGTAGGGTCCCACCCCTGCCCCGCCCCACCCCTACGCGCGAGATTCGTTGTCCGCGAGCCTCTGCGTCCCGCGGGCGCGCTGCTTAGGGACTGTTTGACCCGGGCTTGCAGTCTTGCCGGGGCGTTCCCAATCCGAGCAAGGCCATTTGCATCCTGAACTGTGCGGATTGCAGGCACTACCCGCTCCCGTCCCATCTACGTCCTCCCCAGGCTCTTTCCGAACGCAACTCGGCCGGGCCTGGCAAAACTTGGAGCGGGGTTCCCACCGCAGGGACGCTCCCCGGAACGCAGGGTCACTGGCTGGGTGGGGAGGGAGCCAACCCTCGGCTCCTTCCCCGACCCTGGGGGAGCGAAGAGAACGGAAGGGATGGGGGAGCTGGGAGGATCCCTGGAGCGCGATCACCAGGAGGTGCACTGCGTCCACTGCCCGGGAGACAGACAAGAGCCACAGCGGCGCCAACGCCTGGGTCGAAGCTGGGGGCCTGGGCCTGCGCCCCTCCTGCCCCGGGACGGAAGGCAGCCCTTCGCCTCCCACCTCCTCCCGGGGGAGGGGAAGATCCGTCCCGCGCGGCCCTCCTTCCGAGCCCGCGCAGCTCAGGCTCCAGCGCAGTGCGAAGGGGCTGGCTCGCGATGCTCCCGGGTGAGGACCCGCCACCTGCGGTCCCCTTCCCCGCCCCAGATCAGCACCCCCGCCCAGTCCGGCCCTACCCTGGCACCTCGGGGTGTCCGACCGCTGGCCTCGCCTCCACTTGTCCTGGCAGCCGCGCGGGGGCTCGGCGTCCGGCGCTCTCTCCTCCACCGCCCTGCTCCCACGCTGCCCTGTTTCCTGTTCAACAATATAGCGAGGGAGGCACCGGCGGAGAGCACCCGGCAGAACTTCCTCCCGGACTGGGGTTGCGGCTCCGAGAGACAATCCCCGGTGTCCTGGCTTCCTGTCCCCTCTGGGACGGGCCAGCGCCCGAGGAGCAGAGGCGCCACCCCTTCCCCTGCACCTCCCGGGATCCTGGGCCACACCTGGCGGTCTCCCGGAGGTGGAGACAGCAGAACCAGGATGGTGGGATGAGAGGGGAGGAGGCCTTCTAACCAACTGCTGGCCAGATTTCCCTCCACTGCTCTACCCCACCCCTTTCCCCCACTGCCCTGCCTTGATCCTTGTGGGGGAGGAGGGCCTCCTCCAATCTGTCTGTAGGATAAACTCAGAGCAGGCTCCTGGGGCTTGAACTCAAGATGCTCACCTTATCTCTGCATCTCAGTTTTCTTTCCTATAAACCGGGGATTATAACGCCTACTTCATAGGACTGTCGTGAAGATTAAATGAGATGCACTAAGCAAATGTATTGTTATGATCACGTTCTAAGAACACACATTAGATTAGTTATTACCACTAATTTTATTATGAGGTGAGCTGTCCTCCTCTTTGGGGTTGAATTGAGGTCTCCAATCCCCACCCCCCCATCCTCCTTTAGGCAGGAGGGGGAAGGGAGACACAAGTGTTCTCAGAAACACCTTGCCAAGGGTGGAGGATTGAGTCCAAAGGTAGCACACAGGTCATGTGCCCCTGGCCCTCCTCTGGGCCCGCCTCCTCTAGCCCTCGCACCAGGTCCCTCAGGTTTCCTCGGAGCCCACCACTGCCTGCCCTTGACGGAAGCTGGGGCTCATGCAATGGGCGGAGAGCGAGTGGTCCCTCGAAGGCTGAGAGGCATCTTCAAGGAAAGGAAACTGCAGACCTGATTCTTTCAGTCCCATTTTCCTGCAACCTGATTTCCCTGGGAATTAGTCTGTTTCCTTCTGTCTTTACAGTGGGCAGCGGCGGGCTTCCCACTGCAGGCGCCCCCCACCCCCACCCCTGGGACTTCTTCTGGAACTTCAGAGGAAAGTTGGCAGCCAAGTAAAGGCCACATTGAGCCCTAAAACCATGAGCCCTGAATCGGGCCCTGCTCACAAACCTTTCCTTCCTGAGCCCCTTCTCTTGCCTTGGATAACCCTGTGGAAAATGGTTTCACATGTTCCAGTGTCAGGAGTCTGTGCTTTGACATTTAAGGAACAGGAAAGAAGCCATCCCGGTGGGATTTCAGGCATTAGCTTCATTAGTTATATGAGTGTAAGTAAAGCTCCCCAAAGGCCCTGAAATCCTATCCCACGGTGGGGGAGGGGGCTGACTCCGGGGAGAGGCAAGGGTCCGGGGTAGACTGAAGAATTACTTCCCCTCTTCTCCATGCCCACTCCTGGCACACAAGCCCCCTGCTTGCAAATGTTTACCAATAACCACCCTCCTCCTGCCCTCCGTTGCCTACGGTTTGACTGACGAGAGCAGGGGCGGCTATCAGATGGTAACTGAGGGCCTGTGGTCTCCCCCAATCAGTGGCAGCATTAAGATTCAGAAACCAGGGACTTCCCTGGCGGTCCAGTGGTTAATACTCTGCGCTTCCACTGCAGGGGACCTGGGTTCGATCCCTGGGCTGGGGAACTAAGATCCTGCATGCCAGGTGGCACGGCCTAAATAAATAAACAAACAAATAAATAAAATAACCGAATTACATATTTAAAAAAAAAAGATTCAGAAACCAGACCACAGGTTAGAAAGATCAGGTCTTTACTGCAAAATCATTCAAAACTCACACAGCAGGTCCTTCGGTGCATTGCAAAGCACTTCTCAGGGCCGGGGCCCCTCACTAGAAACAGTTTATTGCATAAAATGAAATTTTAAAAATAGTGTGGGCGCTACCGAGGTTCACATCAGCTTCCCATTGGCGGTGAGGGTGTTAAAAGTCAACTCATCTGAAGGCATCAGCTGCTTTTTGGTATGGGGGAGGGTCAGCTCTAATGCTACTGATCTCAGGGAGGGCGGGCTGCGGGGCGTGCCAGGCCCCGTCAGGCCGAAGTGAGCTCCTCCAGGGCCTCACTCCTGCTGCCTCCTAGGGACCTTCCGGAATACAGAATATACTCACAGGCCCGAGGAAACAGGGCTTGGCTCAGGCGGCACTGCCCACCCCAGGCCCACTCAGCGATCTGGACCAATTACGGCTCTGATCAGGCTGTGTCTGTGGTGGAGCATTAATGCTGGCTATGGGGGGTGGGGATGGGGGTAAGGATCCACTTTCTTTGGTGCGCTGGGCACAGGTGTGCACCATCTTCCGGGATGGGGACAGAGCAGCTGTGTGACAGCCCGCTCCCCCACCCGCCTGCCACCTCCTCGATTCTATTGCACAATTCATCCAGCTCCACAGGGCCGGGCAGGTGACTCAGCAACCAGATCAGCCCAAGGGGGAGGCGGGAGTAGGTTCGCATCTTGACAGTGAAGGCGGATCTCCACCTGAGGCCCCCAATCCAAGCTGAGTGCAGATAGGATGGCCAGAAGACCCCAGGGCTGAGGATCCAGGAGAGGTGGGGGGGGAGGCAACAGAGAAATCATGCCCAGATTTCACCCCCCAACCCCAAGGGTCTAAATATCACTTTGAAAACAATTCCAGGCTCCACCCCAAGACCCCTTCAAAAGGCAGTCGTGCTCCAGTGAAATTTTCCAGTCTCTCGGCAGCGCCCCTCCTGGGCCAGTCCAGCAAAGCTTTGTGAACTCTCATGGCTTTGTAAACTGAGGCTGAGCATCCTTCCACGAGGGTGGCTTCTCCCGCGTGTCCCTGCACATCTCAGCAGCAGGGCTGACGCTCTTCGTGGAAGGACGAGGGTTCTGAGGGTTGTCCTGGCGGGGGTCAGTCAGGCGGGGATGCGTTCCTGCGTCTGCAGCAGTCCCCCGCCCGTCTGGCTGCTTGTCGGTGGTAGGAGTGAGGAGGGTGGGGGCTGAGGGTGGGCTAGATGACGACCCTCCCTGGACCAGGGAAGGCTCAAAGTGCTGACAGTGCTGGCTCCGCGTCATTCCCCTCCTCCTGCGGGACCAAGATCCCAGGCCATAGGAGAGCCAGGGGCTCTGACAAGGAGGACGTGAGGGGCTTTTCGGGTGAGGAGGGGGTGGGGAGCAGAGAGGAGAGGCAGAGGAAACACATGGTCCTCAGGACTGAGCCTGCCCTGCCCCCCGGGGGTTTGGCACGTTGTACAGGAGCTGTCGGCAGCGAGCGCTCGGTAAGGGGGAAGGAAAGGCGCCCGCCAGCTGGCAGGCTCTGTCCTAGGGGGCCTGTCCACCCAGCCGCCACCCGCCTACAGGCCTGGCCTGAGCGCTTCCTGCACATTTGCTCAGGGTGAGAGTGGCTGGATTTCTTGGGTGACTTGTGGAGGGTCAAGAATAAAAAAATATTTTCTGTTGAAATATGAAGGGAAAAAACCCACCTTAAAAAAACTAGGCCTTTTAATCAGGAATGTGGAATTGAAAATGCTTCCCAAGTCTTATTTCCACAGTGTTTGAACAGCCCTAATGGAGATGGTGCGTCAGTGAGGCGATCCAGGCCAATTAGTGCAAAGCCCCCTCTCCTCCCACATCCTCGGACAGGGGCATTTGCTGGTGTCCTGGCCTCCAGATGGGTGGGGGGCAGGAGGTGTCATCAAGAGCTCCCAAGGCTTCCTCTCATAGGCTCATGCTCTGGTCACATCTGAGTCTTCCTGACAAGGGAGACATCTGTGACACCTTGAAAGTGTGACCCAGGCTGATGGCCAACCCAGCTGGGATGGCTGAGCCCCGGGTCCCGGGTGGGGGCAGGAAATGGGGTTAGGCGAGAGTGCTCTGTTGCTGGTACTTGAGCCGGCGGGCACAGCGGGGGCAGCCCTTCTTCATCACGGCCTGACAGCTCTGGTGGAAGACGGTCTTGCATTCGCCACACCTGGGAGAAAGCAGCAAGCACTGCTGGGACCGATGGGCCTCCCGGGGCTCGAGGCTGGTCAGTGTTCCTGACGGGGGCCTGCCACCCACGGCACATGGCACTGCCTCTCCGTTCCAGGACAAAAGGTTCTTGCCACAGCGCTTACTAAGCCCCGCAATGCACACTGATACTCTCTATTCTATTTCCCTTTTATAAATACTGCTGAGACTCACAAAACGACTTCTTGCCTATGTTTCAAACGCTCTGCAGTTTAAAAAACTCAGCCCCAGGTCTGTTCAGAGGTCAAATGCGGGTCCGGGGACACCTACTGAAAATGAATGAATGCGCCCACCAGTTCAGTTTTCCACTCCCACACGGATTGGAATGGAGGTTTGGTGGATGAATTTTTCCATTTAGAGGCTTCTGATAATGAGCAATAACTGGGGACAAGAACAATTGTTACGGGGGCAGAGGCAGTGGCAGGTACCACCCACCAGGTGCCCACTTTATGCCCGGCCTGTGCCAACACTCCAGGCCAGAAACTCATCCAGTTCCTCCTCCACCTGCTCATAGAGGACGAAACTGAGGTCCTCCCACTGCAACTCAAAGAGGCAGCAGCCACCTCTTCTCCAGAAACATGGATGGCTCGGTGGAGGCAGGGAGTCCTGTGAGGGCTTGTCTTGTCCCCCTCCCTGGGCACAGGGCCTGCCGCCCGGGGACTCCGGGGGGCCGGGTGGGAATGGGGGTGGGGTGGGGTGGCTGGCTGAGGGTCCGCATACCTGACTGTGGTGTCAAACTCAAAGGGGAAGATGATGTCATGGTGGTGGCAGATCTGGCAGATGAAGCCGCGCTGGGTGCACAGGTCGCAGTGGTAGACGTGCTGGGAGGCAAACTCGATCAGGGACTTGAGGAAGCCTTCATACACCCCGTCTGCGATCTGTGGAGGGCAAGCGCGGGCCACGAGGCCTTTTAAGCAGCTGTGCTGAGCCTGAGGCCGTCTGCAAGACGTGGTCTGCTGCTGCTCCTGGCACCCTGCCTGAAGAACTCCTACCCCAAGAGGAGTTTCCTTCCACTTGGGCAAGAAAACCTCCCAGAATCAGGCCGAGCACGTGCAGCCCTTGCGCACGGAGGAATCCACTGTACCCTCCCTTGAGGAAAGGAACGTCCCAAACCCTCACCCCTCCCTCTGCCCTCCCTGCCGGGGAGGAGTCCAGACGCAGGGAAGGGGCCGAGCCCTGTGATCCTGGGCTTTGCTGCAGTGCCTGCTTGTCCCGGGGGCGCTGGGGGCTCAGCCACTGCCCAGGAAGCGTGGATGGCGGGACACCCGTTCCGAGCTACCAAAGAGCTGAAGACGGCTGTCTTGCCTCAGTAAACTGCAGGCACTCTCCCCGCACCCCATCATCTCCCTTTCTGATTTCTCCAGGAATAAGGTCCCTCTAGAGAGGTCTGGGGGGTGGCATTCTCACCTGCTGGAGGTCCGCGACACTGTACTTGTGAGGAGACTCCAAGAGATAATTCCTGTGGTTGAGTCTTCAAAGAAAACACAAGAGATTCCTTAGAAGGAACCCGGGCCAACCTGGGTTTGGTTTCATTCCCTCAGCGCTGCTGACCAGGCATGAACAGCTCCCGCCTGGGCGGAGCAGTCAGTCGCCTGGGCTTGGGATCTGGGCTTCCAGGTGAAAAGCTGTTGGGACCTTGGGTAAGTTACTTAACCTCTCTGAACCTTAGGTTTCCTCACCTGAGAAAGAGTGCTGTTCTGAGGATGAAATAATTTACTTAAAGCATCCAGTACAGTGCCTCGTACATAGTAAACAAGGAATAATTGTTAACCACAGTTGATAACACTGCACTGCATAATTGAAATTTGCTAAGAGTAGAACTCAAATGTTCTCTGTCTCTGTCTCTGTCTCAGACACACACACACACACACCCCCCATGTATATATATAAAAATATATAAAATGTGTGACGATGATGGATATGCTAATTAACCAGATGGGAGGAATCCTTTCACCATGTAATCCTATGTCAAATCATCACAACACACGCTTTAAATGTCTTACAATTTCGTCAAGTACACTCAAGAAAGCCGCAAAAATCTTAATTTGAAGATATAAAAAAATAAACATCTATTTAAAAACTAATAACGATGAGGAAAGCTAACGCTTGGTACCGGGAACGGGACTAAGCTTTATATATATTAACTCACTTAATTTTCACAAGACTCCTGTGAGGTTGACACTATTATAACCCCCATTTTGCAAGAGGAAATGGAGGCCCAGAGAGGTTAAATAACTTGCCTGTGGTCACATAGCTAGTAAGTGGCGGAGCTGGAGTCTGAACAAACGCAGGAGTCTGGCTCCAGAGCCTGCATCCTTTCCACCCAGTGAATGCCTGTAGGTGTTAACTGTTGTCATTATTGCCACTATTACATACCAGGGACAGGGCTGGGGACAGAAATGCACAGGACGTGGCCTCTGCCTTCCTGTAGCCCCTGGTCTAGTGGAGGGACAGACATTTAAGCATCTGGTTTCAGTGCTATGGGAGAGGAGCTGAGACATGTCCTGAGTGCAGCAGATCCCATTTCAGAGATGGGGGAGGGCGGGGGGTGGGGGAGGCAGAGGACGAGAGCTCAGCTGCCAACCCAGCTCTAGTTTCCACCTCACCAATGGCACAGATCCCAAGGGTCACATCCTGAGAGATGGAGAGGAAACACCTGCAGAAATCTCCTGGTACAAAAACTTGTCTAGCCTTGCTGTGTGTCTGTGTTGGTACTGGGGTTGGGGGGAGAATTCTCCCAGTCTGAGGAAGCGTGGGAACCTGCCCCAGGATGCTCTGGACATCTGGAGGCGGGAAGGTGCCAGGCCCCGCGGCATCTGGAGCGGGTGCTTGGCTTTGCCCACCCCGTGGCCCCAGCTGTGGTCCGGGGGGGACCCCACCCGGGGCCGAGATGGCAAGTCCCACCAGGCAGGCAGGCAGGCCAGGCTCTGCTGCGCGGGGTGAGGATGAGGCCACTCAGCTCAACATGCTCGTCTCCCCAGTAAACTTCCAGCTTTCTGGGAACAGGACGCTGCCGTTTATCACCAGGAAAATGCAGGGGGTGCGGGGTGCACCGGCTGTGGCTGCGCCGGCAGGAAGGGTGGGGCTGATTTGGATGGTGAGTCCTCTGCCCACAGTCGTGGAAGCCCAGGGGGCCAGCCAGGCCCAGGGCCTTCCCTACGAGCCACCTACCCTGGGTCTGTCATACCCTCAAGTGAGGCCGTACAACTGTTGGGGGAGATGAGGTCAGGGAGGAGACCCTTTGCCAGGACAGCCCCCTGAGAGAAAGGGGATCCCACATCCAAAACCTGCCTGTTTCTCCTCAGCCCTTCCCGTCCTCTCACCCTTCACTCTGGCCGACTCAGTCCAGGCCTCCTCACCTCCTGGGCCAATTCCTACACCAGCACCCATGCTCCACTGCTGCTAAACTGGTCTTTCCTAAACTCCTGACTGAACGTGACCATCCCTTGCTCAAAACCCCTCAACAGCTCCCCAATGCCAGCAGCATAAAATCCAGACGCCTTTGCTGTGGCACAGGGGACCTTCGAGGTCTGGCCCCTGACCCACCACCTGGCTGCCCTGAGCCCCCCGAAGGCCCTGGCGAGCCGTGCTCCTGTCCCGCTTCCATGCCGTGGGTTCCCTTAGCCAGGAAAACGGGCCCTCCCTTCTGCTTTCTTCTCTGCTTCTTTTGCTGAACCCTAGTTCACTACATACGTGATGCCATTTGTGTGGTGGCAACTCCATTCTCCCGTGTGAGGACCAAGTGGGGTCTGGAGCATCTAACAGAACTGATGGTGGCCAGACTAGAGAAGGGGGATCCCAACTTTCTGCCTGACTCTTTCGTACTATTTGAAATACTATCTTTGTAAAGAAGAAAAAGAAAAGCACTTTTTCTTTTTAAAAGAACAAAAGAAATGAACTTCACAAACCCTCAACTGATGCCACCTCCTCCGGGAGCTCCCCTGGCCCTTCCTTCCTTCTTCATGGCACACGCCGCCCTGACCCAGGGCCATTTGTCCACCTGTCCCTGTCCCACCCCAGACACTGATCCCCTCATGTGGCCCTCACCACAACTCTGGTAAGCCACGTCAACACAGGGATCACTGGCCCATTTTACAGACAAGAAAGCTGAAGCTCAGAGAAGTGAAGCAACTTCCCTGAGTCACACAGTGGATCTGGGGCCAGGCGGAGGCTGCGCCTGGACTCTTTCCCCCGCCCCACGCTGCTTCTGAAATGGGACTTCCACAGGCCTGGCCCTGAGCACCGTGTGCGGCGCTGCCGCCCAAGGATGGGAACAGCAGGGCCACAGAGAAAGAGGCAGGACTGTCCCCAGTGCCCAGGCAGGGCAGCCTGGACAGGCCAGTAAGGCTGCTGACCAAACAATCTCAGCACGGCAGGGATGGGCGAATGAGGCCGGCACCCAGGACCCACCCTACAGGCACCTGGTCTTCTCAGGTCTGCAGAGAACCCTGGACTGGGGAGGGTGACAGGGTGCCACTTGACCTGAGCTTTTACCACCCTGGACAGAGGGGTAGGAGGGCAGACTCTGGAGCCCTGGGTCCTGGAATCTCAGAAAGGATGGGAGTGAGTAGGGACCCAGGCACTCAGCTGATTATGGAGACAGAAAGAGCCTCCCCAGAAGCAGCCTTTTAGGTCCCTCACAGTGGCCCCCAAAGGGCTTTCTGTTCTTCTGGGCCCTGTGGAGGAGACCAGGGCTCAGCCGGCTGCTCTGGGAGCCTGGGAGGGGCCAGCCTCTGCTCTCTGCCTAGGAGAGGGGCTCCCCGCAGCAGTCTCTCCCTGCGCCGCCCTGACGGGCACCAGGACTGAGCAGGAAGCCCGTCAGACAGGCGGTCTCTGGGCCAAAGCTGTCGGGAGGGGTGGCTGCAGGGGGAAAGTGGAGGGACTTGTGAGCCGCTCCAAGACCTCAGAAACCCAGCAGCGAAGCCCAACTGGGCAGCCGGCAGCAGCTCATCCGCCTGAGCTCTGCCCTCCTAGGGCCCCACAGAAGGTGTCACCCCTCAGCCCCGACTGAGCACTGAAGGTCCCCTTCAGGCCCTGGGTACCAAGAAGCTTCTTGAAGGGCATCCTAAGGGTCCCACACAACCCTGTCCTCTTGCGAGGATTTGGGGACGGATGCTGCCACAGCAGCAAAGCCAAGCCGCATGGGGTGAATGGCTGGCGGGAACCAGAGGAGCCAGGGCGACACAGCCCTTTCTCACCTCTCCAGCCTCCTCTCACCACATCCCTACTTCCCTCCTCACCCCCGGAAGTTCTGCCTTCCACGCACGGGGCCTTCATTCACAGCCTGAACGCACCACTCCTTCTATCCGGAACGGTCTTTCCTGCGTCTCCTCACTTTCCCACTCGTTTGGCAGGTCTCACCTTGGATGTCAGTTCCTCCAGGGAGCCTTCCCCACTCCGCCCTCCTCCAGTCTGGGTTAGATCCCCCGCCCCTCTAATAGGACTCCCAGGGCGTCCGACTCTCTCCTCCAGCCCTCACCCTTGGTGGCAGCTGCTGCCTTACTCACCTGCCGTGCAGGACCCAGGTCCACCTTGCTCAGCACTGGGGCCCATGCCCCAAGCCCAGTGATGGACCCTGAGCACGTTCTCAGTAAATATTTGTCAAACGAATGAAAGAACAAATATAAGCACAAATAAAAGCCACTCCTAAATGCAAAGGGAAGGCGTTCCCCACCCAGCCCTGGCGCTTCTCCCAAGAAGCTGCTTTTGCACTGACCCCGTGTGTATGTGTATTTGTGTGTGTGTGTGTGCGTGCGTGCGTATTTGTGTGTGTGTGCGTGTGCGTGCGTATGTGCGCGTATTTGTGTGTGCGCATGTGTATGTGTGTGTGTGCGTGTGCGTGCGTATGTGCGCGTATTTGTGTGTGCGCATGTGTATGTGTGTGTGCGCGTGTGCGTGTGTACGTGCGTATGTGCATTTGTGTGTGTGCGTATATTTGTGTGTGTGTGTGCGTATTTGTGTGTGTGCGTGTATTTGTGTGTGTGTGCGTGCGCACGCGTGTGCGTGCCCATGCACGCCCAGGGTGCTCACCTCTTGCTCAACTCCTTCAGGGCTCCGCTTCGGCACAGGCCCAGGTAATCCCCCAGGAGCTTCAGCTGTTCCCGGCTCCTACCGATGAGGTGCATCCGCTCCACGTGCTCGTACAGAGACACGTTCACCAGCTGCAGGTTGATGAGGGGCTGGGCCCGGATCCGCGTCAGGAACTTCAGGGCCTGCCTGCAGACCTGGGGACACCACCAGGCAGCGAGGGTGAGACAGGAGGGCCATCTGGTGAGCACCTGAGGGCCAGGCACTGCGTTACCTACTCACTCGCTCACGCCTCCCACCACCTGCCGAGGGAAGTGGTACCATCTTCATTTTACGGATGAGGAAACTGAGGTTGAGAGAGAGGAAGTGACTTGGCCAAGGTCCACAGCTCGCACAAGTCATGATGTGAACCCAGTTTATCTGACTTCCAAACCCACTCTTCCCCCTTGACACCAGCTGCTGCCCCTCCTGACAGTGCTGGGACGGAGGAGGGGCTGCTCCGGTCAACACGCCTCTCCTCCTGGGCCTCACAGATCCTTCCCACTATTTCCTGTCGTCCCTGCCCCCACCTTCCTGCCGAAAGGAAACAGGCACTACCCCGGGCCGACTCAGGAACCAGGTGACGGGTGTGAGTCAGGCTCCAACCACAGTAAGCTACGGATCAGACACAGCTTAACTAGAGGTTTCCTGAGCTCCCTCCACCCCTGCCAGCAGCACCAACCAGGGCCCCCCCAAGTCTCCATGTGGATTTGAGTGATCAATCTGGGCCTCTCCCACGTGATAGGACTTTGAAGGTTCTACCCTCAGCCCTGATCCTGATGCCAAAGCCAACTACTGAGCACCTACTATTTGCCAGACGCTGGGCTAAGGACCTCGACCACATCCTCACAACAGCCCAAAAGGGAAGGTGTCATCATCCCCATTTTACACATGAGGAAACTGAGACTCAGAGAAGCTAAAGTGGCTTACCCAAGCCACCAGAAGAAAGCAGAGCCCGGGTCTAAACCGAGGTGTTGTCTCTGCACACTTGGCTGCCTCACGTGCTAAAGAGGAGCCCCTCTCCCCTGCAGTCTCCTCCTTGCCGTGATAAGGATGGAGGAGCTGAGATGTTCTCCACCGTCAACCACCCGGCAGTGCTTAGAAGTCGGGCTTTGGCTCCTGGTTCGCCCCTTCCCAGCTGTATGACCTTATGAAACTTACTTAACCTCTCTGTGACTCAGTTTCCTCATCTGTAAAATGGGGAAAATAAAAGCACCTACCTCATGGGATAATTTTGAGCTTAGATGAAAAGAAAATCCATGTAAGCATATCCTCTGTAAAGGGGAGCTGCCATCAGACTCTGTGAGTGCCTGTGTGGTCCCGGTGTCTGTCCCCTGGCTCAGGGGGATGTAATAGGGCCCTCAGGAGACCGTTAGGCTGGGGGCTGCTCCACCAGCTTCACCAGCATCTCTCGCCTCCCGCAACAGCTGACAACTCCATCTTTTCCCATTTCCCAGAGCCCTGAGGAACCAGCCCCCAGCCAATATGCAGCCCACTGGCAAAAGCCTGGTGAGTCCGTGACTCGGGTCAAACCCAGCCCTTCCCACGACTCAGCCCCAGGCTTCTGGCGAGGCTCAGATGAAATACCACGCAGGAATGTGCGCTGAAAACTGCCAAGTGCTGCCGACAGGCATGGGCTTCGAGCTCCCCAGGGACTGTTCCTCCCCCGTGGGTGTGGAGGAGACAGACAAAGAGAGAAGCCCCAGGCCTGGGCTGACATCCTGCCAAGTAGTGCCAGCCGGACCTTGCACAAGTGGGTCAGCCAGAGTGGTAACAGTGGACAAAGGGCCCTTAACCCGCCGATCAGCCACTTTCTAGTGTGAATTTTCATGTCCTTCCCAGGCCCGGGATCTTTGAGAGAGCTGGATATTTCCTGACCTCAGGCATGCCAAGGGAAGTGTTAGAATTCTCCAGTTGGAAAAAGGAAGTGGCACCAAAATTACAGCAGTGAAAAGAAGGTGGCTCAACAGAGGCATCTGGGTGTTATAAGCAGGGAGGGTGTTTTATGGGCAGAGGGTTCTTCGCATCTGTGGTGATCTTGAGGTTTAGTTTTCTCCATGTAGTTAGTTAAATACTTAACATTGAGGGCAGGGGTGGGGATGAGGTAACCAATAAAAAAGCCAAAGTGAAGCTAATGTCTTTGGAAGGTTCTCACCCCCAGCGGGGTGGAGGTCAGGGTGGTACGGGCTCTGAGAACCATGTTCCCTGGACTCTGATGGGGACATGTGAAGACACCTCCACATAATGAGACAGCACGGCCGGCAGGCCTGGGTCTTGAGAGAAGCAACCAAACTCTTCCCGGTGTTTCTGTGTCTTGTCTTAGCAGAAATCTGTGCCTTTGGAAGAAAGCCAAGTTTGCGCCCCTTGAGGCAGACCCTCAAGCAAATTAGGGGCAGAAGGTGAGGCCTCAGGGCACTAATGTAAGCCACCAGCTAAGTGACTGGTGGGTACTGTCTCTTTTGGTCCTCACACAGCCTGGGGACAGACGCTGTTATTAATCCCCCTTTACAGACGAGGAAAGTGAAGTTAAATAGTCTGCTCATGGTAACACAGCTATGTAAGTGGGTAAGCTCAGCTGAAGAGGAAAATCTGAAAGATCAGAGAATACATCTTATGCAGAAGCATTTGGTGAACATAAAAAAGTACCCAAGATGTAATACTAACTAAACAAAGCACCTTATAAAGCAGTATGAGTCCGGCATGATCCCAAACTTTACCAAAAGTAGATGCAGGAGCTTGTAATCTTGGGGGTGGGGAAGAAAGGCTAAACAACCAAATAAAGATGATTTTGAATGGTGAAAAAAAAAAAGTAGATGTATATGTAAAAAACAAAAATGCACGGAAAAATGCTCCCAGGGAAAGTGCAGCCAGCTGGCTAGCCCGTCCATCCACCCACCCCCCCACCCACCCCATCCCCACTCATCCACCCACCCACGCATCCATCCTTCCATCCACCCACCCACCCACCCACCCAATCCATACTCATCCACCTACCCACCCATCCACCCATCCATCCATCCACCCACTCATCCTTCCATCCACTCATCCACATTACCCACCGATCTACCCATCCATCCATGCACGCATCTACCCACCTAACCCATCCACCCAACCATCTATATCTAATCTATCCTATCTATCATTTCCATCTATGTATCTAGTTGTTGGTGCTTTAAACAGTTTTATCTGTATCCATGGGGAGCTGCAGCAAACCATCCTCAGATTCCCACCTGAGGACCAAGGTAGGCACTGACAGAGCTGTGTCCAGGGGCTGGAGACCAGCACCCAGTTACTTTCTTGGTCAACTCCCCCACATCATGGGGCCTGAACTAGTGACCTGGGCTTCCCTAGAGCCAAACTCCCCCAAACATACGAACAGCAGCCACAAAGAGGAGCGACCCCTCCTCTGTCACTCGGCAGCCCTGTGCGGCCACGGCAGGCTGGGCTCCAGACTTACCGGGCGCTTGGTGAGGTCCCAGTTGTGGATGATCCTGGCCGGGATCACTGAGGCATCGTCTTGATGGCAGATGTCACAGTAATAGAGGCCAGAGAAGGCACAGAGCTTGGGCCGTACAAACGAGAAGCCGATCTGCCGGGAGCAGCCTGGGGAGAAGAACAGGGAGAGGGTGAGCAGCGGTGGGGACAGAGTCAGCTCCTGAGTGACCCGGAAGCGGCCAAGGCAGAAAGGGCCCGCTATCTAAGGAAAGTATCCATAGAAAGATTAAAAAGGAGAGTACGAAGATGAAAACCACCACCGCTCATATTCCCACCAGTCAGAACCAACCCTATTAATTAATCTTTAGGACAAAACACTGTTAAGAGTTATCAGCGGCTTCACAGCTGAAGAAGCTGGTGCACAGAGAGGGCAGGAAACCTGCCCAGTCACACAACGATTGAGTGGCACAGCTGGAGTCAGATTTGGGTGGGGCTGGTGTAGAGCCCTCATTCTCTTATTGCCAGCTGCCTCTCTTCACTGCTTGCACAACAATGCCAGCCTCCTCTAGGTCCACCCCTCCATGGCAGCCCAGAAATGGAAGCCACGGAGTCAGGGTCTTGGCAAGCAGGGCAGGAGCTGGGGACATGGGGCTGGCCACAGGGAGTGGGTGGGGAAGCCAGCCAGAGGCAGGGCTGTCTGGACATGGCCTGGGGCCAGCTTCAGTCCCTCTGCTGGAGGGCCCTCCACAGTGGGGCGGGGGAAGGTGGGGGGACCGGGAGTGGGGTGTGCCCAGGGCACAACAAAGGCCTGGCTCGAATCCTGAGCACAGGCCCTGCCTCCTACAGGGCCAGGGAAAGAGTCCCTTCCGCCTCCCGGGGACTAGAAGGACTGGTTCTTCTGCATGCTAGCTGTCTCATCCTCACAGAAGTTTTGCAAGGTTCCAATTCCCTACTACTTGCTCTTCTGTGGGGTTATTACAAAGTTTAAATGGAGTTTTGAAAGCACCCTGTAAACTATGAAATACAAGCCAGATGTCAGAGGTTGGTGTCTGCCCGGCCACCGAGCTGCGCTCGCAGGCAGAGAGGAGGCCCGAGCTCCCCAGTTTCAGTTTGGCCGGCAGGCTGGCGGGTGGCAGGCGTGGGGAGAGCCACCCACCCACCAGCATCCACGTCCCCAGCGAGGGAGCCCTCCTCCCAGCCCCGGAGGCCTGGCCTCCTCCCTGAGACTGGCGCCCACGTGCTGAAGGGCAAAGTGTGGCTGCTAGGGTCTGGCTGGTGGGGGGGCGAGGGGTGAGCAGCAGCTTGAAGATATTTTCTGCGGGAAGCTCTGCTCTGCTTAGCTACTCCATCCTCCAGGGGCACCAGCTGCAGACCACTCCCTTCTAGATGCGTGAAGCAGGCCTTTGCCTCCCGTCCCACAGGCTCCTCACACTTCACCCGGAGGGCCCAGGGTGATGGACGTGGGTGTCTGGGTTGGGGAGAAGAGCTAGAAATGGAACGTGAGCAGCAGAAGATCACGAAGCCTTGAAAGCAAGGGAGCGGAGAGGCCCTGTGAGGGCCTGGAAAAGAGCACAGGTTCTGGGACCATCAAGTCCTCTGCGGGCTCCACCATCACTCGCTGTGTGAGCGTGGGACAGGTACTTACCAGCCCTGTGACTCAGTTTCCTCAGTTACAAATAGAGACAAATCCCCACAGGGTTGTTGTGAGGATTAAACAAGATGATCCAAATAAAGCATCTGGCCCAGGGCCCAGCACAGGATTTGACGATGCTAATGACAGAGCAGACGTACTGACGTAGAAGAATACGCATAATATACTCCCAAGCAGAAAAAAGCCAAGTTGCAGAACAACAGTTACAGCTGCGCCGTCTAAAACGGTGGCCACGAGCCACAGGGGCCCATTTACGTTTAAATATATTTACATTAAAGCAAATTGAAAATTCAGTTCCTTCCACACTAGGAAGCCACATTTTAAGTACTCAGTGGGCACATGTGGCTTGTAGCAACCGTACTGGACAGCACAGATCTAGAACATTTTCATCATCACAGAAAGTTCTGTTGGACAGCTCTGAGTAATACGAGCCCATCTTTGTAATTAAAAAAAAAAACTGTGTCCACTTGCAAAAGCAAGCGAAAAATTTTTGGAAGGGTACCATGCCCCTGCTCCAAAAGAATACAATGTGATCATGGAACGGCCTCATTTGCTGCAACTTCCCCGGGGCAGGATGGGGGCACTCGTGGGGAGCAGGAAGGGGTGCAGAGCCTAGAGTGGGAACCCCACCGCGGGCAGAGCGAGGCTAGCAGGCTGGGGGCAGCAGGACAGCGAGTCGGCACCTGCACAGAAGCAGCCCTGGGAGTCGAGGCCTTTCTCCGTGGGGATGGCCACCAGGTACTGCAGCAGGAAGCCGTTCTCCCGCGTGGCGAACTTCAGCACCTCCTGACAGTTTTCATCCAGACTCCCACCGAGTGTCACTGCCTCCTCAGCTGTCTCCAGGTAGGACGCCAGGACCTTGCGCACCAGGTCCCTCCACAGGGCGGCCTCCTCAGCGTTCCCGGCCTGCAGCTTCAGGACGGCCTTGGCCGTGATGATTTTGAAGAAGGATGGGCCTCCAAGGCTCGTGTCCGGCAAGATATCTCGGATGGTCTCGACTCCATGGCTGTCACTTAACATCTTCTCATTGTTTCTCACGCGGAAGCACTTCAGAGACTCCAAGGACAGGGAGAAGATACAGGGCATCCAGGTCCGGTCTGTGTACAGGTACAGAAGGGATTCCTTAATAGCATCAGGCTCGGGAACCTGGGAAGAAGACCAGTCAAACTGCGGGCCCTGGGGGGTTTCAGGGGTTTCCGAGAGCAGGTCCGAGTGGGAGGCGCAGCCACCCTGGGGGGCCTCTGGAGGGTCCTCGGGCTGGTCTGGGTACTGGATGGTCACCCACTCCTCCTCCTGCTGGGGCCGCCGGCACTTCTGCAGCGCCTCGCGCACACGGTCCAGCCAGTCCTCGGCTTCATCGCGGCACGAGGAGCGCAGGGTCAGCTTCTTGCCCGAGAAGACCAGCTCGAAGCGGCCGTCGCCGTGGGCCGGGCCCACGGACTCACAGCGCAGCAGGGAGCAGTTCTCCACGCAGGTGTGCTCCTCGCCGCTCAGGTAGAGGCGCAACTCCAGCGGGGAGAGCTCGCAGAAGAGCTCCTTCCAGATGCCCATGGCCCCCCGCCGCTCCACCGTGCCCAGCTTCAGAAGCCCCCGGAATGGGTTAGACAGCCCTGGAGGCAGAAAGAGGTGCTTTAGACGACGGGCCTGACCCTTCACCACCCAGGAGAACATCCGGGGCCTGAGTCCTGTCCTGCGCGCAGACGACGTGACCACCAGGAGAACACAGGCCCGCCATGGGCCGGATGGGAACACTTTTTGAGAGCCTCCATTCCATCCTCACCCCAGCTGTTGACCTTGTTCTTGAATTTCACCGAGAGAATAAAAGCACTCAATCACCTCCACATGCCCCCCACTACCCCTCTCCCTTCCAGCATCTGCACCCACACTCTGCCTGCCCCCGTCGCCAGGGATGAGCTGACTATGCTTACGTCTGAGGCCAACCCTCCCATTTGTGCATCTGTGCAGGGGGTCCCACCGCCCCCCACATACTCAAGGACAAGGACGTCCCTCCAGCAATCCTCCCTCCCTCTCCTGCACCGCCGTTTCCTCCCTTCTCTACTGGATCATTCCCACCAGCCCACAAACACGCTGTTATTTCTCCCAGCTTTAAAAATAACCTCTTGACTCCACTCGCATCTCTAATTACCACCCTGTGTCTCTGTCCCCTTTTCAGAAGCCTCCCTGGGGAGGTGTGGGAACTGTCTCTAGTCCCCCTGCTCCCATTCCTGCTTGAAGCTGCTCCAGGCAGCCTTCTGTCCCCTCATTCCACAGAACCTGCCCTTGGGAAGGCTACCAGGCCCTCCTTGTCGCCAAGTCCAAAGGCCAATCCTTGGTGCCCATCTGGCCTAGCCCATCAGCATCATTGGACACAGCTGAGCCCCCCTTCCCTTGGCTCTTCTCAGCCGTCACTGTCCCCCCTCCTGTGTCCCAGGCTCCCCCTCCTCTCGCTGGCCTCTCGATGCTGGAGGCCCCGGGCTCAGCCCTGGATTCTCTTCTCTACTGACACCAGCTTCCTAGCTGATCTCCCCTGGTCTTGGGGTTTTATGTCAACAACTCACCAGTTTTTATCTCCAGCCTAGACCTTGCCCTTGAACTTTAGATTCTGATCTTCAACTGCTCTGTGTATGTCTAATAGGCTTCTCAAAGTTGACATGTCCAAAAATGAATTCCTGATTCTCCCACTCCAAACCCGCTTCTCTCCTGAAGTTCCTCATCTCATAAAATGACTAACTTCATCCTTCCAGCTACTTGGGCTAAAAACCTTGGAGTTATTCTTGATTTTCTTTCTTTCACACTCCACATCTAATCCATCAGCCAATCCTCTTGGCATATCCAGAATCTTCCTCCACTTCACACCGCCTGCACCACTACCTCAGGGGTTCAATCCACCGTCATCCCTGGCCTGTTATGGCCGTGGCCTCCTAACTGGTCTATGTCCCCTTGCAGCCCTTCAACAAATGAGCCAGTATGACTCCCCCTTTCAAGAGATAAGTCAGATCACATCTCTCCCCCCCAAACCCTGCAAAGCTGCTGTCTCCCTCAGAGCAAAAGCCAACGTCCTTTCTGTGGCCCACGAGACCCTCCGTCACTCTGGCCTCATCTCTAACCACCCCCCTCCCCATCTCCTCTGTTCCAGCTACTCTGGTCTCCGCTCTTTTCCTGGACAGGCCAAGTACGTTCCCACTGCAGGGCCTTTGCACACGTTCTCCCCGCTCGAAACACGAAGATCGTCTCGTGCTTTCCTCCTTCCCTCCGCGATTTACTATTCCCCACAGAAATTATTATTACCTGCCCACACTGTACGTTTACTTGTTTATTTGTTTATTTCCTGCCTCTCACACTAGAATATAAGTCTCATGAAGATAAGGACTTTGCTTTGTTTCCTGCTGTGTCCCCAGCGCCTAGAACAGTGCCTGGCACATCACAGATGCTCAGTAAGTATCTGCTGAGTGAGTGAGTGAGTGCGTGTCTATGTACCACACACAGCCCAATGATCCCTGCTCCCTGGGGGTCAACCATCCCCTGAACCAGGGGGTCCAAAGGACACACACGTCTCTCTCCCAGCCTGGACTAGCCTTAGAGATTTCAAACCATTGTGTAGGGTCTTCCCACCCTTCAGGGTACCTGATGATGCAGGCATAAAACACACCTTCTCTGGTATGGTTGCAACCATCACATGGGCTGAAAGAAAAACCTAAAAGGAGGCAGCATGGAGACCAGGGCTCTGCCCAGACTCCCCGAGCCAGGGCCCCAGGAACCTGGCCAGAATTCTCTGCTGGGTCATTGCAAACAGAAAATGAGGAGAGAAAGAAACTGACTCTAGAGCACACGTGTTTGTTTGTTTCTGAGGGTTACAGAAAAATCAGGTTATGGTTACTTAATGCTTTCTAGACTTTCACAGGGTGTGGAGATCAAGGTGGCCTCACTGTAAACTGCACACAGAGGCCACTGAACAAACAGCAGATCTAATAACCCCATCACAGCTGCGAAATAAACTAAGAGAAAGGCCTTGGGAAGGAGCAGGTGAAACACCTGGGCCTTTAAGAGGCAGGGGTTTGCTCTGGGCTACAGACAGAATCACGATGTCTATATACTCATAAGATTATCTTATGTATAATCATAAGATTTATAGGAGAGTTTCAGGGAAGGTATTTTCCATTTCAATATATGAAACAGTATTTGTGTACTCTGTAGGCAGTTTTGAGCATTACTTTATTAACATTTTATGAGAGGGACTTCCTTGGTGGTCCAGTGGGTAAGACTCTACAGTCCCAATACAGGAGGCCCAGGTTTGATCCCTGGTCGGGGAACTAGATCCTGCACACATGCCGCAACTAAGAGTCTGCATGCCACAACTAAGTGTCCCCATGCTGCAACTAAGAGTCCACGTGCCACAACTAAGACCTGGCCCAGCATGCATGCACGCATGAATGAATGAGTAAATAAATAAATAGGGCTTCCCTGGTGGTGCAGTGGTTAAGAATCTGCCTGCTGATGCAGGGGACACGGGTTCGAGCCCTGGTCCAAGAAGATCTCACATGCTGCGGAGCAACTAAGCCCGTGTGCCACAACTACTGAGCCTGCGTTCTAGAGCCTGCCAGCCACAACTACTGAAGTCCATGCGCCTAAAGTCCATGCTCCGCAACAAGAGAAGCCACCGCAATGAGAAGCCTGCACGCAGCAACGAAGAACCAATGCAGCCATAAATGAATGAATGAATGAATGAATGAATAAATAATAAATAAAAGATTTTATGAGAAAATATAGTACTCTTCCTGAAATACTTTTCTGAATTACTCAGCAAGGGTGCTCCTTATTACATTTTGGGATGCGGTTTTTCTTGGGAGAAGACACCGCCCAGTTGGTAACGGAAAAGGGGACTTTTGAACTGCTTTCTGAAAGGCACTGCCCGCGCGCAGTGCAGCGCCCGGAAGCCTGCAAAGTCGCTTACCCATCTGCCTGCGATGCACCACCCTGAAGTTCTTATGCTCCGGTGTCGGGGCGGCCTTGCTTCTCCTGCTTCCTAGGGAAGGCACACAAGCTTTGTCTAAGGCCTCCATGGAACAGCTTCTTCTTGGTCCTTGCGTGAGGAGACCAGGCCTCGGCTCTGGAGTCCCTCTGGGAGAAGCCACGGAATCATGGGAAGGACTCTCTGCGGGCTGTTCCCGGGGAGGCCGGTAGAAGTCATCTTCTGAGATCCAGCTCGTGCTTTTCTATTGGGAAAGAAGTAAAGACAGGTTGCTTTTAAAAACATCTTTATTGAGACATGATTCACATGCCATAAAATCAATGCACTGAAAGCATGTAATCCAACAGTTTCCGTGTCTTCACGGAGTTGTGCAAACATCACTACAATCTGCGTTTAGAACATTTTCACTGCTTCATAAGGAAACCTCGTCCTCAGCAGCAGTCACTCCCTGTTTCCGCTCAACCCCCCCAGTTCTAGGCAACCAAGAACCTACTTTCTGTTTCCAGAGATTTGGCCACTTTGGACACGCATAAACGAAATTTTATAACATGCGGTCTTTTGAAACTGGCTTTTCCTTAGCATAATGTTTTCAGGGTTGATCTATGGTGTGGCATGTATCAGTACTTCATCCCTTTTTATTACCAAATGGTATTCCAACGTATGGATGTACCACATTTTGCATAGCCACTCATCAGCTGATGGACGTTTGGGTTGTTTCCACTTTTTGGTAATTGTGAATAATGCTGCAGGGAACCTTGACATACAAGTTTTTCTGTGGACACTCGTCTTCTCTTCCCTTGGTACATACCTAGGAGTGTAACTGATGGGTCATATGATAACTATGTTGAACTTCTGAAGAATTTCCAAACTGTTTTCCTAAGTGGCTGCACCATTTTACATTCCCACCAGCAACATATGAGGGTTCCAATTTCTCCACCACCTCTCCATCATTTGTTATTATCTGTATTTTTGATTATAGCCATCCCATATGGCTGTAATAAGAAATGCAATCTTATGGTTTTGATTTGCATTTCTCTAACATCTAATGACACTGAGCATCTTTCCATGTGCTTATTGGTCATTTGTATATTTTCTTTGGAGAAAAGTCTATTCAAATCCTTTACCCATTTTTAAATTGGTTTATTTGTCCTTTTGTTCTTGTGTTATGGGTTGAACTGTGCTCCACCCCCAAAAAAAGATATGTTGAAATCCTAACCCTCAGTGCCTCAGAATGTGACGTTAGGTGACAGAATGTGAAAACAGGGTTGCTGCAAACGCAGTTAGTTAAGATGAGGTCATACTGGGGTAGGGTGGGCCCTGCATCCAGCGTGACTGATGTCCTTATAAGAGGAGAAAAGACACACAGAGAGAGAACACCACGCGAAGACAGAGACACAGAGGGAGGCCACCACGTGATGACGGAGGGAGGGCCTGGAGCGATGCGTCTACAAGCCAGAGAATGCCCAAGATTGCTGGAGACACTACACGTTAAGAGAAAGGCGTGGAACAGATGGTGCTTCAGGATCTCCAGAAGGAACCAATCCTGCCTCCATCTGGATTTGGACTTCTAGCCTTCAGAATACCAGATACAGTAGTTCCCCTTTATCTGTGGTCTCACCTTCTGCGGTTCCAGTTACCCACAGTCAACTGTGGTCCAAAAATATTAAGTGGAAAATTCCAGAAATAAACAATTCGCAAGTTTCACACTGCGTGCATTCTGAGTAGTGTGATGAAGTCTTGCACCATCCTTCTCCATCCCGCCTGGGCCGTGAATCATCCCTTTGTCCAGTGTATCTCACCCATTTGTCACTTACTTAGTAGCCCTCTTGGTTATCAGATCTCCTGTCATGGTATCACGGTGCTTGTGTTCACGGAACCCTTACTTTACTTAAGAATGACCCCAAAGCACAAGACTAGTGATGCTGGCAATTCGGATCTGCCAGACAAGCCGTAAAGTGCTTTCTTTAAGTGAAAAGGTGAAAGTTCTCAACTTAATAAGGAAAGAAAGAAATTATATTCTCAGGTTGCTAAGATCTATGGTAAGAATGAATCTTCTGTGAGACTGTGAAGAAGGAAAAGGAAATTTGTGCCAGCTTTGCTGTCACACCTCAAACTGCAAAAGTTATGGCCACAGCATGTGATAAGTGCTTAAAGGCATTAAATTTGTACAATAAGGTATTTTTTTTTGGGGGGGGGAGGCCACATTCACATAACTTTTATTACAGTATACTGTTATACTTGTTCTATTTTATTATTAGTTATTGTTGTTAATCTTTTACTGTGCCTAATTTATAAATTAAACTTTATCATTGGTACGTATGTATAGGAAAAAATACACTATATATAGGGCTAGGTACTATCCACGGTTTCAGGCATCCACTGGGGGTCTTGGAACGTATCCACTCAGATAAAGGGGAACTACCATAATACGTTTCTGTAGTTTCAAGCCATCCATTTTATGGTCTTTTGTTATAGAAGCCCTAGGAAACAAACACAAGTTACAATGTTTTTTTTTATATTCTGGACACTAGGCCCTTGTCAGATACATGATTTGCAAATAACTTCTCCAATTCTGTGAGCTGTCTTTTTACTTTCTTGATGTTGTCCTTTAAGGCACATAATTTTAAAATTTTGATGAAGTCCAATTTATCTATTTTTCCTTTTGTCTCTGTGCTTTTGGTATTGCACTTAAGAAACCATTGCCTAAGCCAAGGTTACAAAGACTTACTCCTATGTCTTCTGCAAAGAGGTTTACAGTTTTAGCTCTTACATTTAGGTCTACAATCAATTTTGAGTTAATTGGTTTTTTAAATTAATTAATTAATTAATTAATTTTTGGCTGCGTTGGGTCTTCATCGCTGTGCACGGGCGTTCTCTAGTTGCGGCGAGCGGGGGTTACTCTTTGTTGTGGTGCGCGGGCTTCTTCTCTTGCTGCGGAGCACGGGCTCTAGGCGTGTGGGCTTCAGTAGTTGTGGCACGCAGGCTCAGTAGTTGTGGCTCGCGGGCTCTAGAGTGCAGGCTCAGTAGTTGTGGCGCACAGGCTTAGTTGCTCCGCGGCATGTGGAATCTTCCTGGACCAGGGCTCAAATCCATGTCCCCAGCATTGGCAGGCGGATTCTTAACCATTGCGCCACCAGGGAAGTCCTGAGTTAATTTTTGTGTAGGGCGTGAGGAAGGGATCCACCTTTATTCTTTTGCATGTGGATATCCAGTTGTCCCAGCACCATTTGTTGAAGGGATGTAGGGTTTTTCAGCACTGCTTGTAGGGTTTGAGATGAGGGAGGCATGGATGAGCAGGACCCAGAGACCTCACTAGCTCCCTCTGCCTCTGCTCCCCACTTCTGAACAGGCCCCTCGGCTCCAGGCAGCCAGGCCCTAGCCCTTCCCTTCTGTTGCTGTCTCTCCGAGTCTGAAGTTGCTCACTGGCTGAGGAAAGTGGGTGGCTCTGGGGTCAGGAGGCTTGTAGGAATGGACTCTGCCTCCTTTTCTTCACTCAAGTGCTCCCTGCCTTTCCGTGCCTAAGTGTGGAAGAGCAGAGGTGAGGAAGCTGGCTGGGCGCCTAAGTGGCTGTCTACACAGAGGAAATGAGTCACCTGAGGGGTGGGACAGCCCAGCTGTTCTGTTAAGTGCCACCGACCTCATCCTGATGTTGCTATTTCCACCCCCTAAATTAAGACTGCCCTCCCTGCTCCCGCAGACAGGGAATGGGGGAGCAGGGCTTGGAGCTACCCAGAATGCCCGGAAGGATTGGTTTGGACAGTTTAATCCATTCAGATGCTGCCAAATTTTCTGAGTCAGGAGCTTGGAGGTGGGCTGGGGGTGGGGGGGGGGCGGCTCACAGAGCTGGGCCTCCGGAGCTTCCTCCCCAAACCCTCAGATTGGCAGGTGCTTCCTTCTGCCAGTGACAGGACAACGTGTCAATCAGGGTGACTGCTAGGGACTATTTACAACTCAGGATTCTGAACAAAGCCTGTCTAAGTCATCATGACCCAGGGGCACTCCCCAGGGAAAATGGGCTGGAGGAGCAATCACATGGCTGTCCAGGCAGCCTCCTGGAGCCTGGCACACACACCTGGGAAACCCTGCAACGCTGCAGCCCCGGATAATGGCCCTAATGGGAGAGACCACTCTCCCTTGAGGCTCAGCTCAGGGGTCATCCATCGCCTTCTCCTGGAAGCTGTCCTTACTCACCCACCCCCAGCTGGGTTTGGGACCCCTTCTGGGCTCCCATGGCATTCTGTGTTCACCCCCATCCTAGCACCTACAAAGCTGTTTGGAATGGTCATCCTTCTTTGTGCCGGGCACAGAGCTATAAAAGATGAGGGGATACACCTTGACTATCCAACTCTCTTTAACATAAAGTAACACAGATGGGGTGAGGAAACAAGGCAGGAGACAGATGTGGATTTTGAGATGGTGTAGGCTCACTGGTGAGGGCCTCTCTCTCCTTGGAGATGTTCACACCTGGTCCAGTGGCCCCAGGCCGGCCACCAGGAAGTGATACTCTAGGGAAAACCTTTTGTTCTCTTAAGCAATAGAGAAAAACAGCAGGAATACTGGGTCCTTGGAGCTTCTGCACATGGGCCTGGACTGAGCTCTGCGGCTGTGCCCCCCTCCAGGACCCCCAGTTATTACACAGAGCGGGGGAGAGGGCAGCACACCACTGTTTCCCCTCCCCCACTAAACCTGCCTCCTGCTCATTCAAGGCCCCATATCTGGCCCGTTCCCTGCCCCTTTAACAGTGGGGGGAAATCACCAATGACCAAGGATCTAAGCCAGAGCAGCACCTGCCACCAGGACCCAAGACAGAAGAATGCCACTTGGAGTTACTACAGGGACCAGGACACTGTGTACAACAGCTAAATCCCAGAGAGGGGTCTGGCAGAGGAGTGAGACGTCAGGTCTCTGGACCACTTTCAAAAAATCCCTTTTGTTCAGTCTGTCCTCATTATGTCAGGCCAAGGGACTGCCTGTTCCTCCTCCTGGGGGAGGGGACCACATGCCAGAGGCCAGTGGTCCATGAGGGCAGTGATTAGGGCCAAGTCTTAGAATTCAGACTGTCCTCTGGGAATTAAACTGAGAAACCAACTCACGACCTTCCGGATGCCACAGAGTCACCCTAGTTTCCCCACTCCCATCCTTCCCGGCACTTGTCACCAGTGTAATTACGGTGCAGACAGTTATTTGTCTAACATAGTGTCTTTCCCCAAGGAGCAGAGCCTTTGTCCTGTTCCATCGCTGTAC